ACATCTCGGAATCATAAATTTCCAAAAAACCAATACAAATCCGCAATTTAGTAGCAAGAATGCGGATGAAAATACGCGATGTACCAAAGATAAGTAGGCGACTAAGACGAACAAAATTTATTACCGTGTATTTTAAGTAAGCGACAGGTTAATTAAATTGTAAAAAAAAGTAAAGTAATATTTAAATCGGTCGCCATAGCCTTTTCTATTTTCGTTACTTGCTGTGTTTTACTTTCTCGAGTGCGTCTATCATTTGGCTCGCAACGTAACGAGAATTCCGAAAGTTGTACTTACATCTGGAGCGGATTGTTTCTAACTGTTTAAAACGATCACAGTGTCGTAATTAAGTGGACTCGAGTGGATTCATTCGTGAGATTGCGAATTTTAGATCTCATTCTGCTCTGATTGTCAGAGTCACGCAGTCATACTCTCGCTAATAATGTGACAGTCAGAACGCAGCCACGGTAAACAGTATTTTATCATGCTTGACTGCGACTGAGGACGGAGAGCACATGATATCTTCTGGAAAAATAATAAACATAAATTTATCACTCACAATTAGAACAAGTTGAAGACATTTTCTATTTTATTTTGACGATTTTTTCGGCTCGCGAATTATTTCTAAAAGACCTGTAACGATTTTGTTCTAAGAATTTTTCAATTTTACAATTAATAATTCTTATAATCCTAGGATAATGAAATTAATCGCGTGGAAAATGTTTTGACGTGAGAAATTTACATGCTATTAAAGTTTCATTTGAAAAAATAAACATAAAATTATCTAGAATTAGTCGTGCCACTTTAAAGTTTCTACCTGCGTATTTCCGCCCGAACGAAGGCTTGGACTAAAACGTTTCATAGGTATGGCGAACCTCAAAAAGTATCAGAGGTACGCGAATTAGGAGGAACAGCTCCTAAATAGAAGCGTTGTTAAGAAATTAGTGGAATTTGGTGAAATTCCTTGAGACGATAAGAATCCGACTCTACGAAAAACTCTCTAAAAGATTTTGTTGCCTGTACTTTCAGGAATTTGCAGCGTAACTTTTACGAAAATCAATAAAATGCTATCTCTTAACAGCTTTTAAGGTTCCATTCCCGTGTTCTCGCTTGTAAAATCTTAAGACGTTTTCCCGCCGTTCTCATAGAATGGACTCATTTCCTTTCCGATACGATCACAATCTTTACCTAACTTACCTAACTAACGTTTTAAGTTGTGTCCAAGTTAGAATCATTGTAGAATAATTACATTTATTTCTTGACTTATCTGATATTTCTTATGAACGCGATGAATAATTCGTTTACGTGGATTTTTCATTCGCGATCTCAGCCAGAAGATATATTTTTCTATAATTTTTGTTGAACTTACTATGGAATACATGATAATTCTGGAGTGAATGGGAATGAATAATCAATAGAAGCTTGAAAGTATAGCCTCTAGTTTTTTCATTATCGAGAAAATTAAATATTATCAAGTACACGTATTAATTTCAAGTTAATTCCTAGTCAAGTAAATTCAGATTTTATTTTTTCAAAAACGAGACTTTAAATGGAGAAATTTTATTTCATATTTATCGTTTATTTTCGTAGAAAGGACAAGCCGACAGCGAATAAAATTTATTTTGATTTCTTCGAATATTCATTATTATTTGTCTTTATAACGCATATCTATTTAGTACTTTTTCTTCTTTGAAAGTTCGATCAATTTTTCGTCAATGGAGTTAGTGGTTTGTGTCGTTGAGCTTAGAGATAAAACAGCGGCGCGTTAAAACGCGATTCGCTCGCGTGTTCTTCGTCGCCGAAGAGAAAAGTAGGTTGCATGTGACGTTTAGCTGGGATGATTCGAGAGAAGACTCGTCTGAATGAACTGAAAACCGCGTCTACGGCATTTTCAGGAAGTGATTCACTTCTCGCGAACCCCGCGGAGAGCTTTCACTCTTTGACTTACGTCACCTTCCAACAAGCTGATCGAAATTACTGCCAACGCGTTCTTTTGAATAATTACGAGGCAATGAACTCGATCGTGTTGCAGGATTGCTTTTTCAGAACATCGTCAATATTGGCTTCGTTCCCTAATTAGAGAGATATACAGATATTCATGCAAATTCGTATTTTGAATAAAAGTATTTTTTGACTATCAAATTACCTTCGATATTTTACATTTTTTTGTCCATTTCGTTATATTATACATCGTTGAATCTTTATTATATGAAGTTGTTCAGAATATGCAAAAATATAGAAAATATTTTATTTCCTTTTGTTTAATTGATTTTATAAAAATGTGAATCTACACAGCTATATGTGCAGTTTATTTGTTTAATATCTATACACCTCAGAAAATGTTTCTATGACCATATACATTGGTTAGTGTAATCTTAAATAAATAAAACAATCGTGATAGTCAGGTCTCTCTACAGTTTTAATGAAACGTCAAGGTGATTTATATCATACATGCAGATGCATTCGTAGAAAGTTTCTCTATAAGTATCCAAATACTTTCGTGACTGAGTATATATTCATTCGTATAAGAATTTTTGCAAATTACGCAGTTTTTAAGATTCCCAGTTAAATCGTGATAATGAAATAGAAATTTATTCCTCCCAGAGTCTATAATTAAGGGTCAAAGTTTCTTACACAACGAGTAGGGAAAAATTCTTCGTACGTTTTTCATCGTGTGTAAACGAGCAACAAGAAAAGTTTGCTTTTGCCATTCGCATGTCGGCGAAGCATGCATTCGAAACTTATTGTGAAACTGTCCATCGATGCGTACAGGAATATTCAAAGCTATCGACCAAACTGTCGAACATTCATCTGGCTTTTCTCGTAAATAATCGTTGCTTATAAATGTTAGCATCCTTGCGAATTATACTTAATGCGGCTGCTTGTGCAACGCGAATGTTTTTCAATTTCAACTTTATATAGTTTTTTTTTTTTTTAGGTGCGAGCCTCATTCCGTATAAATGACTCATTGCGCGTCTATGTACACGTGCTTCAAACGTCGCCGTGAAATGTCCGCGTAATAATGCAATTTCGGGAGCGTAATCTCCAGACAAATTATCGTCGTGGGTGAATTAACTTTGTGACAAACGCATAGTGAAAGTTTCAAGAACAAACGAAATGATAAGATTATTTCAAAGCTAGCCACTTGCGCAAACAAAATCGATTCACTGGGTAACAAAAGCGCGTACACATTCGAATCCGTGTGTGTTGCATACACTAGCATTTCTGAGTAGACTTTGGATCTTTATGCAGTTTCATATTTTTGTGAAGAGAATTAGAAAAAAAAAAGTTTTCAATATTTTATATTCTTGTCTTATTGTGTGCATTGTTTCGTATCCTTAGATTTTTCATAAACGTAGAAAATTCAGACTCTATTTATAAGTGTCCTGATATCTTGGTTAGTTTGTAATAACAGTATGTGAATTTTATCTTCTGATTTATGATTCCAAAAGAACCGATGTTGCATAAATGCAACGGTTCTATTTGCATTTTTTTCTATTCAATTCGTATAATTGAATTCTTCTTTTTTAAAACTGTAGTCATGAAAAGGAATTCGAACGATTTGCGCAATATTTTTTTTGTCACTAGACTTTACAATTTTATGAAATTTAAAGAAATTGAAATACCCATATATATATATATATATATATATATATATATATATATATATATATATGCAGGTCAATCGAAATAATATTTATAAAATATTATATCGTAATTAATAATTGTAAATATTAAGTAAAATTGTAAAATCTAGATGAATGAAATAATGATAAAAGAATAATTAAGTGAATTCTTTTCATGATTACAATGTCAAAAACGGATATTATAAATATTATATATCAATATTATTCGAAATATTTCTAAGTTAATCGAATCGTTCTAATATTACACGTGACAATTAATTAGAACAAAATCATGCTAATTTATATTTATAATTCTATAATATAATCCAATAAGAATTATCATTTGAATATCTCTGTTATTTTTGAAGAAATTTTATCGAAAGTTGTTCGGTATAAAAGTGGCCATAATGGTAGTAATAATATCTTTGTCTTTCCATTTTTTTTAAAATGGAATCGTATATTTTTTAATTCATCAATCGATATGGCTCGACATTTGCTATGAAAGAAATATTGACATACATATAAAATTTAATTCACATGATATTTTAATTTTAATTTTTGTAAAACAGAAACGACATTCTCCTCTTTCATATCATTCATACGATAGGTTTTATGAAAATAAAAAATTGCATAAAGATTTTGCGAATGGTGGTACGTTTCGTTCCATCGTTTGATCGCGTTGTCTTCAGTGAAAAGCTCAAAATGCCAGGATTATTTCGAAAAGGGAAATTGAGTTGCGCGTAATTCGATAAAGGAAGTCCGTTGTGGAAACGGATACTCCTATTCAGTGGAAGTTGTAAACGGCAAATGAATGACGTCAACCGAGTGACCGATATAGCTAAAACGACTTTACAGTACCTTGCGGTTATGGTGTTGCGCAACCGTCGACTAAGGTGGATTAACAGGCGTAAGGTTTCGTTGGATTTCTCGAATTCCTTTGACATCCGATGTCCCCGGAGACAAAATAATTTACGGCTTGCACACCCGTCGTCAATATCTTAATCATTTATTAAGAAACAGTAGCCGCGTGCTATCGGTCGTATGGAATTACGTGATAAGCAAGCGAATGTAAACTCCACGTGATTCCTGGGAATATGTGTGAGAAAGGTTTCGGAGCAAATGGGAATATTAGCTATCTCGTTGTGTTCTTCTCCTTTATTTCTTTTTTTTTTTTTTTTTTTTGATGTTACGTTTAAATTAAGATAATGAAGTTAAAATTACAAGTGATAAAAGAAACTATTAAATTTTCAATGGTTATTGAGCGATTTAATCCCCAATTGGAATTAATTTTGGAATTTTCAATTTGATTTAATTTTATTATCAGTCTTCGCGAGAAAGGATATAAAATATATGTCAGACAATATTCTTCTCTCTAAAACATATTTCAGTGTAATTAACAATTTCGATAATATTGTAATCTTAGGTGATTCAAGACACATAATTCTTAATTCGTTACTTCACGTAAATCCAATATGTGTTGTAATCTTTTACTTCGTGATTTAAACATTTTGTACGAAAGGAAAAAACGCTCTAACGCTTCTGAACAGGACTGTACGGGATTACGTAAGAAAGTACGCACGTCACGCCAGTGACCTTGCCTTGTGCGAACCATTTTATAATAATTGGACTTCGATTGATTTCAATACTGTACGCAACACGTTCATTTCCATGCCGGAGCACAAACGGACAAGGAAACTGATATTCAATTGAAATTTTGTTTCAAGTGCTCCATCGTTTCGCAATGTCGTTGCAGTCTGCGAATGCCTTTCGTTTTGTTGCCGGAGTAACGATGTTCCCAGGCGTCTAGCAATCGGTCGTAGTATCTCTCCACCTCGAAGAATTTGAAATACAAATAGGAACTGCTGGTGGGGAATAGTATCTCAAAGTTGTCGGCTTGACTGAGCTCGTCCTCGTAGCGGATGAGCTGCCTCAGATCGTCCTTCGTCAAATTCCGCAGGATTTCGTCCAGATACTCGTCACGAGTCTCCATCGCGTTGATCTCGTTCTGCTTCATTTTCTCGCGAAGATTCAAGGCCGTGCTGTACAATCTATAATTATGGGCGATCGAGTCGTATTTTTTGTTGCACGCATCGTTGCCTGAAATTTGCTCGTTCTTGGGAATTTGGTAGCCGGCCATATTTAATACGTCTTTCATCAGAGCACCCTGCAAAATAATAATAAAAAAAAAAAGATCAATACGTCAGACTATGCCGTTGATCACGCTTACGATATGCATGATTCAATCTGTGTGACCATAAATAATTTATTGCACATTCCCTTGACGGTTTTCGTGCATCATTGCGGAGGAATTTGTGGGTTCGATGTTAAATGTGAACGAATTATAATACTATTTTTATTTTATTAAAACTCAAGTGAAAAATCCCCAAGTATCCTGTAGCTTATGAACAAAAGTATGCACATGCACGCCCATGATCGCGGGTGGACATAATTATCTGCGAGCGTGATATCTCCTCGCGAGAAAGTTGGCATCACGATGGCGGACATTAAGTTCCAGTTAGCTCTTCGGCGAGCATCCATTTAAATCCTAGGTACCTTAATGGCGGTATCGAGTGGCGAGTCTGTCTGCAGCGACGGTAGAGTGTTAACTTCCAGTAACCACGGTCTTAAATTCTCGTCGAGGAGTACGTCGAACCCGTATAATTCGTAACAGGTGTAACTCGAGACGAGATTCTCTGAAATGGCCGCGTTCATGCTCGATTCCACGGATATGAAAGTCTTAACGATGATATCCTTGATCTGGCACCATAGGTCAGTGACGTCCACATTTTCCTGCCTCAGGTACGACCACAGACTCGCGAAGGACCATTTGTGTCCTTTGAACGAGTTCACTCTGTCGTTCATTATGTAAGCCGGATTCTGCTTGTTCACGCTGCTGTTCGTTAGGTGCATGTATTTGTCGTCCAAGTTCGCTCCACGAACGTATCTAGATATTCAGCATCGTTTTAACAGGGTAGAGAATTATTTTTCAGTCAGCGAAGTATTTTAACAAGGTATAGAATATTAGAGTTATTTGAGTTAGTAAGATTAATAGAGTACAGAATTATTTGAGTCAGTGAGATATTTTAATAAGATACAGAGTTATTTATTCAACATTATCATATTTTTTTTCACAATTTTTGAGCGAGATTGTACAAGTTTAATTTGCAAAATTAACGTTCGGTTGACCCAAATGACCAATTGCTCTACCATAACGCTTTGACTTTCATTATCAGTGAAAATCAATGAAATATCGTGTGAAATAAGTTAGGGTCGTCGAATTACCTGACCGAAGCGAAACGAACCAAGCCCTCTTTGTAGACATAAATTCTCATCGGGTTAATGCTTGTTAGGAGAACATAAATTCGCAGATCGAATTTCAAGCCGTTAATGAGTTTCGGCCTGCTGATATATCGTTGAATGATTACCGAGTGCCATTTTCGTATCTCCCACCATTGATTAACAATCTTGATACCCTGGCCACGACCCGCTGACGGCGGTTTAATTATCCACGTGGTGCCCATACCGTGCCTGTTCCACATGCCTTCGAATTTCTGCATTTCCTTCGGCAGTACGTACGTTTTTGGCATGAAGTTGTACTCCTGAACGAATTTTCGCGACATTTCACTCAGATGCGTCCACAATAAATCTTTGTTGCCGATACTTTGAGATCCTGGCATGTTATTTACCTGATTTTAACATAAATCTCGCTGAAACTGTCTCTTCGAAGTGGAAAATTTCGTTTATGGGAATTATATAAGCGTAATTGGGGAGCTTTTTGAAAATAGCTATGGAATCGAATGATGATTTAAGCAGATCTTATTGGAAATTTTAATTCCAGTTTTTTTTTTTTAATATTAGCTACGTTTATTACAATGGCTTTTAAAAACAATTCAGCTGTTTCATTGAAAAGTGAGTCTGGAAGCTGAAATATTATAATTATTAATTATAGAGTTGAATTTGATGGGAGAATTCTTTTAAATTAGAAAGTATTGCGCCCTCCATGATATTTTAAACATTTAAAACTTCCTTACAACAAATTTTGATGTTGTAAAGAGGAGACTTCAATTTTTAAAACTTTCAAGAATTTAATTACGAAAGAAAATTTTTTACTGTCCGTAAAAATGTACAAAATATTCGTGAGAGAGATTCTTCAAATATGGTTCTATTAAAAAAAAAAGAGAGATAAAATAATTCAAGTACACGTTCAACTGCAATAAATTACTTTCTCCTCGAAATAAAACAAGTTTTCTTTGAAATAGTTTTCGATATAATTAATGGCAATAAATTTATAGACTTTTTTTTAAAGAAAGTTTCTTAACCAATCTTTACCTTTTGAAAGTTTTTCATACTTCGATATTTCGCCGTATCTTTGCACGATAAGTTCCAAATGCCAGACCAATCGGTTTTTTCTTTATTCACCACCTGATATCCAGAGTTGATTAAGATCTTCATCAAAATCTGAGGCATGGACGTGGTAAATTTCCATTTCAGAAGTTGAGCGAAGTCTTTGGTCAGTGTCTTGGGTATGTGGTCGTGACTTTGGAAGAGAACGTACGGCGAGACGTAAGGGAAAAGACTTTTTCTGATCGGTAACGGCGAAACATCTCTAGTAGCCTTGTCTCCGTCGGCTCGTTCGTCGAAGATGAACGGTTGTGCCTCGATCTTCGATACAATGCTCTTGTTCTTCGTTAATTTCACCGATTGACGTCGTACAATGTCCGCGGATTTAGATTGGTTGTTGCGCAGCGCAACGTTGGCGACTGAACGAGCAGATTTCGTCCTCGAACGAAAGAAAGCTATTTCCGTGAGCTTTTCGTAGGTCAACCACTCCTCGTCGGAATCTGCGTTGAGGTTAATCACGCCGTTGGATGTGCTGGTGGTGGCGCATCGATTTGACTTGTCTTTGAATCTCCGTGGATTAGAGTCGCCGAGGTCAGCCTCCTGCATCGTGATACCAATACACTCGTAAATTTTGCGTTCATTATCGTGTCAGTGTCTCAGCTTCACTGGCAATTTCAACAAAACTCCATGATCAAACGTTCGTTTGGCCGGTGTGGGTTGAAGTTGCTCGCGATGATACTCGCATGCTCGATACTCGATGAACTTTATGAGACACACCCCGACTTGAGCTTGCTGGTAAAACCGGCGGACCGTGACGTGGCGCAGCATCGCCGAAAAATTCGATCCGTTCGAGCCTAATGCCTCTCGGAGACGCATTTAGAAGAACCGCGCTCTCCACTCTTGCTTTTTCCAGCGATTAGATTCGCGGAACGGGGGCGCAGAGGGGGACGTCGTCCATTAAATCAGTTTCTGTTCACCCAGTTCCTATCACCGGGCAGTGAACAATGCCGCGATTGATTCGACGGCTTTCCGCATTTGCGTGCTTGCCGTACGTTTATCTTACTCGGAAGAGTGCTCGAACGCGCGGTAAACACGCGGCCAGACATGCAGGGGGTTGGTTTATGCGCGTAACACGCGCTACATACAGTGAAAATGCACGTGGTTCTCTTTGAATGCGCATTCACGCACGGGATGACTTCTGGAATACAAAGTCGTATCTATCCTCTTCTCTCTCTCTTCTCGCTCGAATTTTGGAACTTTGAAATTTCGTTACTTGCAGGGAACAATTTTTAATTATTCTATGTACATATAATAGTATTTGTACTATAGGAATAAATAATATGTCGAATGATGAATGTACGAAATGAAGTTTAGATTGAAAATTTATTTATTTTAATGTCGGGAAGATTTTTTTTATATGTCCCATGCATTTTTGTACCTTAAAATTTCTCAATAAAAATTTGTAATTTAATTACGTGTGGATGTTAAGTGATTCAAAGTAAATTGTGTTTTTCAATAATTTAAAATAATTAAAATAATTTGTTTGATAAAAGTCAATCTTTAATTTACAAAATAAATCTTTCACGATAATTTAATTATCTGTTTTGAAAATTGCTTCATCTATTAACAATAGTTTGTATAAAAATCTAATCTAATTACAATGGACCTTAAATTTACAAGTTAAATGTATTCACATTGTACATTTCTTTGTAACATTATATTCCAACGTAGCTTGGAATTTCAAACACATATTGCACAATACAATTCATTTTACAATATGTAATATACTTTGACATATTCTAATAATCTTTTCGTAGTATAAAATCTTTTCTTCGTGATATTATATGCTAACATGGTATACGTATTCTACAACATAGTATATATAGTCTATAATATATAATATTACAAACTATAATATATAATATAAATTAATATATTCCTTTTTTCGCAACACTTATAAATAAATCCCCCCTAGTTCAAGTATTTGACTCGAAAAGGCACCTATACGTTTACTTCAACTAATCCAATCCCTCGGAAACCGTCCGCGGATAAGGTTTAATCCCGCGAAGTAAGAGAAGGAGGGAAAAGATTGGTAGCCAAGGCGGATTCCCGATAGACGGGCAAATATGCCTATCGTTCTCCATAGATCTCCCGTCTGGACTCTAATGGCGATGCTGCCCGATGCTAATTTGATTCCCGTGTAGCGCAATCACGGGCCTGATTGTCGATGTTACGCGCATCACGCGCATTCCTGCGTGCGCGCTAGTTGCGTTTTCCATCTTGCACGATTAATTGTCCGCGGTTGCGATGCGTGGCCGTTGGCTGGCTACTGTCGATCGGTCGGCCAGCAAACCTTCCTTCTCGCAGCTAGGAATGCAGCTACGAGTCTCTCGTTCTCATGTGTGTCTCTCTGATCAGCTCGCGCACAATACGTCCACTGACGACCGGACAAACACCACTGGCGAAACACCATTGCTCCGGCTATTTACAGAGTGTAATACTCGCGCGATGCCAGATATAACGTGCATTTACATACTCGCGATCGTTGCGCGCGATCCACCATCGAGAAAACGGCTCGGCTCGGCTCGTCTTGGTCTTCCGGCACCGCGAACGCTCACTTTCCTCGAGACTCGCCGCGCTTTCGGCTTCCTGGCTTCTCGGCCGTTCCACCTCTGCGAACAGAGATATCCGAAAACGTTTGATTTAAGGAGATCTAAGTCTGTAAATTCAACCGGGTAGCGCTAGGATCTTGCGGTACGATGCAGACTGCGATATTAGATGTTAGGTTTACGCGGTAGGATAAAGGATCTTCCGGCATTCTTTGATCCTTTCTACCTGTTTCATAGTTTCACGGCAGTATATTCGGAGAATGTATACTTGAGTGCTCAATAATTGTCCGCGGTGTACTGATATTTTCTGTATGCTTGTGTATTAGCATTCGCCGATCTTCGTTTATCGCTTAACTGTACAGGTTTTGGTTCAAAGATGGCTGGCAAAATTGTTGACGAGCAAAGAGAGTTATATATATATTGAAAAACAATGTTGCCGCAAGAACTCTATTGTTATTTCAATAAACTTTATAGTTTGTGTTACATATTTTAATCTGATTGCAATTACATCGCGGATAATAATTGTATCATGCTCGTGTATTAGATGGATAGTGGAAATCAACATTAAATTATTATTACGGTAGATATAGGAATTTGTGAATTTAAAAGAGTGAAATATAGTTGTCACATTTTTGTTACACATTTTTCAACTTTTATAGTGGAACATTTCTCTACTATTAATCCTGCTTATTGCATGTTCTATTGCTTTTGCATTCACAAAAAATTCGTTGTAAATATTTTGATTAAACGAAAAGAATTATTCATTTTAAGATATCCCATTGTAATTTATAAAACGCGCGAACAATTTTATTACAAACTTTACTAGAAATATTTTGATTATTCAAAATGAGAAGTGTTGGAATACTTTTGAGCGCGCGTACTCTATACACCGTACGCGGTTGTCTAAAATAACATCAGAGACTAGAAATAGATTAAAACCTCGTAGGATCATAAGACATGTGTTCAAATACTTGTAGAGGATAGTGTACGGCATGATACTGTACTTTTAGCTTGGTGCCGAGATAAAACGCAACGTAAAAGAGACCCGGCAGCGTTTGTTTCCTTTCGAAACGATTCAGGAGACTCGTACCGTTAGCAGTCATGTCCAGGTCCACCGTAAATCACGAGCGGCGCGATACGTTTTTTATCATTCGACTTGAATTCGGGAACGGTACCCGCACGAGGTGTCTCATTGTTCTTCTCGGCACTTTTTTTGTCCCGTCTTCTTCTTCATGGTTCCGTTCCATCAGTGAATTACGGTACGTATCGAGTCTGGCAGCTTTACGCCCGATCTACGCCCCACGTTGATAAAATGAAATATCACACGGTGGTGTGTACGCGGCCTCTCGTACTCTCACGGTCCACGTGGCAAATATAATACGCCGTGATTTACATACGGCGATACTTTCAACAGAAATCTGTCCCGCAGTAACTTTGTTATCGATCGTTCGCCTGGTTTATTCCGCGTTCCGTGCAAATCCGAGGAATTCTTTGGAGATAAATTTACACGTCGAAGTATATAAATAATCTATTGCAATCTCTGATTATTGAATTCGAAGTCTCAGTTCTCTAGAAAATTGAGAAATCGTTTGAAATCCTCCGTTCAATTCAAATTCGAAATTCTAGTAAAATTCGAAGTTTAACGAAATTTGTTAATTATTAGTAGACTGCGGATTTTTATGCATTTATTGGAAATTTTTCGAGCGCAAATATAACGCTGATCGTGCAAGAGAATATGTAAAATATCCAAAGTATAGTGCTTTCTATGATACTTGTGGTACACGAAGAAACTTTCCATTTATTTACCAAGGTTTTCCATTTATTTACATTCTCGAAAATATGAATTTTCATAAAATGATAATCACAGTTTTATGTTCCTCCGTCGGTAGTTTTGATGTTAATTTCTATTTACATACAATACAGAAGTAATATCGCATTGCACTGTTTGTTTCCCGTGCTTCTTTCACATCTTTCAAGAACAACTATTGGAACTGCCCATCTAACTTGGTTATTTGCCGTAACTAAGTTGATTGATTTCTTCCCCTGTATTTTTTAAATAAATTAAAATTAACCTGAAAGTAACTTTAGTATATAGTATCTTCTTTACAAAAAAAAAAAAAAAGAAAAAAAAGAAACATACGGAAAGCAACTGTTCGTCACAATTCAGTGTCAGTGAAGAATGTCTCGACAGAAGAAGTCTTAAGAAAACAGATTTTGTTTGCTCCAACTTCGCTATCCTCTTCCATTTTCAAAGATTTGCTTTACAAATATCGCCAAGTGTCCTTTCGATACGCGGGGAAGAAGTTGCTGTGCGAGGAAAATGAGAGTAAAGGAGGCAGCGATTTTCTAAGGGGGTTCGAAACTCGAATACACGCGGAAGATGGGGACGAAAGGAAAAGAATGGAAGAAGCGCGAAAGATGCAAGGAGCCTTGGATGTGTGTCGTCGAGATGGCGGACGCGCGTTGAAAACGTTTGTGCGACGCCATTCGAAGAGCTTCGTGCGGGAAAATGCGGCAATCCGAGACGTCCGTTTCCTTGATGTATCTCTCGTTGCATTGTCTTCGTATGAACGGAGAAACGTCCTTCGGTTCGCGAGGATTCCGTCCGCGTATTACTCGCCGCGCGTGCAACTACGCTCGCCGGTGCATTAGAGATTTCACAACCAGCCGACGTGCGTGCTTTCCTGTCAGGCCACGGTCCTCTCGCGAACCGTGATTCCATTCGTTGTGATCTTTGTGCGCGCTACGATTTAATCTCCGATTCATAATTAAAAAGCGATCGGGCTTGCGGCCGAGTCGAACAGAATCTCAGATTGGAGATTGACTCTTCCAAGTACACGAGATTATGCACAGGTTGCTTCGTTTTAATCGAAAGAAGATTGAAATATGAAAACTCCATTGTTTTTTGAGTTCTAAACTAAATGATTGTCACAGCATTTGTTAGAATGTGATAAGTCGTTTGCTAAATTTCAACACATACTTACAATGGTATTTAATCAGGATATATACCACATGTTATATGTAGACAAAAACGATTACAATAAATGTTTATAATATGCATGTTTTTACTCGTAATATAAACGAATAAAATATAATATAAGGTAGTAAATATATTTATCTATAAATGCAATTACTTCCAGAATAGTCTATTATTCAATTAATTAGTTTTCTTATAGTTAAGGGAGAGTATCTCTATCGTATATAAATCAGAATAGCATGACTATGCTAAGATTCAACATCATTTGTCTGTTCTTGACCCAATCTCTTGTAATTAAAACAGTTTTACAAAAATCAGGTTAAAACGATAACATAACTACATTCCTATTAAGATATAATATCTTTTATCTATTCTTCATTCACGCGGAAAATTCAACATGTTAGAGACGTGTCGAGTCTTATTCATTGATTCATTACTTTTGTTCATTCAATTTAATTTTTATTAAAATTTATCATCCAATTAAAAGGTGCAATACTTTGCGATCGATTCCAAATATTTCTACTCGATGTTTCGTTGAATCGAATCTTTCCCGAGTTCGTTATCGTCGAACACGAGCCATTAACCGCCGACTGTCAAGCACGCAGCAAACTTTCCGATCTGACACAAAAGAGGAAAACGTCAGAGCGTTAGAAAGTG